CCCCAAACCCCCAAAACCCCAAAACCCCACATTGATTAGAAAATTACTGGGAAGAATGTAAAAATAGAATTTAATTAAAGTTATAAGATCAAAATGGGTAATGCTTATGAAACTTACAGATTTGATAGTGGTTACTTTGTTCTTTAAACAGATAAGCCCCATTACCATCCAGGAGACATAGTTAGTGGGAAAATTTTCATCAGATGTATGAGGCCTGTTGATGCAAAATAGATTGACATTGAAATTTAAGGCAAGGAAAAAGGTTCTTGGATGGATATTGAGTATATAGAAATTATTGATTCTGAAGGTCTTAGAAGATTATAAAAAAAGGATATAAAGAGAAAATATCGGCGAAATATAATAGATCATTCTGGGATTTTATTTAAGTTTCCCCCATAAGGAATGATACCAGGAGATTTTGTAATTCCTTTTTAGTTTCAACTTCCATAAGGTGTTCCTGCAACCATATTTATTAAGTAAGAAAAGCATTCAAAAAAGCTTAAAGGATTCATAAAATATTACATTAGAGGAAGCTTGATCACAGTCAAAGATATTCCTGAAATGGGCTATAAATAAGGTCTAGTTGTTAGAGAAAAGCTACAAGATGATAAAATTTAGTCAAGGGTATAATAAGGCTTTAAAATTAAGACTTGGTGCTGCTTGAATAAAGGAATTTCAAGTCTCGAAATATAACTAAATCAAAAGATTTATGAGCCTGATGATAAAATCATTATCGAAGCATGATTAGATAATTCAAAATGTAGCCTCTAGCTATAAAACATCAGAATGACTGTGGAATAGATTCTTGAAATAGATTGCTAGGATATACATCCGTTTTAGGAGAAATTCATTTTAGATCAAAAGAGTCATAATGGGGTTAATGCTAGCCATTCTTAGATTGAAAGTAGACAACATGAAATTGACCTATCTCAAATAAAATTTTAAGCACCTACGGGACGTAAAAAAGAGGGAACAGTAAGACCTTATAGTGATGAGGATACATTTTAATTGAGCTAAATATAGCCCACAACGAGAGGGCAAATTATCAAGAATTCATATCAGGCTGTATTGTATTGTAGATTTAATGGAATGCTATGTTGTGATAAGCCTCCCTCTATAAAGATCCCTATCAATATTTTACCTGTAATGTGCGAGGATTTATATGAATTTTAGCCTCCACCAGATTTTAAGCCCTAGATATTCGATCTAATAAAATTGATGGTTTCACCCGATGGGGGTAATAAAACACCCAAACTTAAAGATAAAGATAAACATTTGAATAAACCCACATTAACTGAAAGGGATTAAACTTTTGATAGTTTATATAATATGCATTTGGATACTTCAAAAACAGATATTTAATTTCCTGGCTATAATAAGTAGGGGAAATTGTTTGATGATCATAGTTCAGGATTTATATAAGTAAAGATCCATAGATGATACTGGATCATATTATTAGTTTCAATATAGCTACAATTGGATTTTCCTTTCATGATATGATCTAGTTTTAAGAAAAAATAAGAAAATTAATTTATTAGAAATTTATCAATCAGTCATTAACATATTAACGTCTAATTATGACATGAGGGGTTTTGGGGTTTTGGGG